CCCCAAAACCCCAAAACCCCAAAACCCCATATATTTAATAAATAGTTGATTTATAAATTTTAAGATGGAGGTGGGTTTAAATTTGTAATTATCTTCATAGATACAAAAAGATTCGATACTTTGAACCAACAATGAAAAATTCAAAGGCATCTTTACAAAACTTGGGCTCTGCCTTAACATACTCCCTTACTTTGATTACCTTCACAAGACTAAACACCTGATGATGCAGTTGTTTTCAGGCTCAAGACAGCTCTGGATCGAAGAAAATCAAAAGATTATTGAAAATATGCATGAGTGAATGCAAGTGGTTGATCTCAGTGAAGGGAATATAGAATGTATTAAAAAGCTGTAAGAAACTAACCTACCATAAAATATCCCCGAATAGGTTCAAAGTTCCAGAATCAGTTTCTGAACATGAGCTAAAATAGCCAATCACTGCAAGTTTTATAGATTAATTCTCTAGCGAATATGCTTCCTGAACCTACAAGTACTTCAAGTTTCAGGTAAAAATAATGGTTGCCTCTGACAGTAAGGCTTCAGTTTAAATTTTAAGAATATTCATTCGGAAACGAATCAAAGGAGACCATTGAGCTTCTCAAAAAGTATTACCCACTAGGAAACCTTCTGGTATAACTCATCTCAAATAACTGGTTTAGGTCGAATCAGTGACGCTTGTCAGAAGCCCGAAGGCTGTATACAGCAAGAGCTTAGCTGAAGAAAGCATGAAAAGAACAAATGAAGTTGTTGACACGATCCTTGAAATTTTAGGACTTGAATGTCAGCAGATAAGCAATTATAAGTGTAACTTAGCTTTCTAGCTTGAATAACTCAATCACATAGACTTGGTGCCACCGGTAGTCAAGCTTGAGAAACACTACATCAGAGGACACGAGAGGTTATATCTTACCAAAGATGTAGATATTGGTAGTGCATTTTTAGATCAAAAAGATTTTGCTTTATCCAACTTTTAACTTCGTTATAGATGAAGAACTCTTTGCATTGGACTATTATTCCTTCATAAATATGTTTGATCGGATTATGTGAACTAAGATAACACAAACATTAGAGAAATTCATTGGTACATCGCTTTCGATAATTTTAGAGGAGTTTATTAATCACGGGAATTCTCTTCCAGAGCAACTTGAAGGTAAAACAAAATTTTGGTATTTGTATGAAACTAAACCTATGAAGATCAATGACTCTTGTGAGCTCAAATTTTCCTGAAATTTTTTAGATCTAAAACGATAATAATGGGGCTCTGATTCCTCATCTCAAGTATTAATATTGTCATTGATTGCAATCCTACTTTAAACACACAATAAATATCAAGTTTCTCAAAATTTCAAGTGATTGTTTCTCTTTTCGCTCGAAATTCAAAACGAAAGCAACACTATTTACTAAATCAGCATAATCTATTGACCTAGGAATTATGATCGAGCTGCTTACTTTCTTAACCAAAATAATCTAGAGATCACTATAATAGCTTCAACTCCTTCTTATGAAGCAGAAGAGGCCAAGGAGCAGTGTGATGTTACTCAACTGATGGATGTGATAGAACCTCAGCATAAACTCAAGTTTATCTTCAAAGAACTTTACTCTTTGCAGAGCAAAAATATTTTGGCTATTTTGTCTTCTCTTAGAAAGGAGGAAGGGGTCCAAGTTCATGTTGAGTTTACAAATAGAAATAAAGACGTGTTCATTCTTCACTGTTCACACTGAATGCTCTGCTTCAGTGCTGAAGATACCACTAAGATGGCTTATTTTAAAGATGTGAGAATCGATTGTGGAATAGAAGACATTACTTTCTCGAGTGACAATGAGTATATATTGATTCCAAGTGCTTCTTCACTCAAAGGGGCAACACTGTCAGAGTGTCCTTCTGAAAGAGAATCCTCAGCTTTTGCTATATTTTTTAATCCAATAGATGAGAGATCAAGGATGGTGGCAGTCAAAGTATCCGATATAACCAACTTATCTTTCAAATAAACTCATTGAGAAGCTCTCTATTCAGCCTGAGGTTGGTGAGAAAGTTAAGGAGAAAAATAAAACAGGAGTTCTGATCCAGAATTGGATGAAATTACCCAGTCTTCTAGAGAGTGGGTGCTCTCTAGACCTTTCTTTGAAGAGTAAATTACTTTCTTAAGCCTGTAGTAAGCAAGCATGATTACAAAATACTGAGATCTGTTCCTAATAATGTTAAGATAAACAGTAATTTAGCATCTAAATAATGTAGGTTTGTCTCTGCTCATTCCAAATACTCTTTATTCAGGCTACGGAGATACAGATGTGTTGATCGACCAGTTTTCTACCTTACTGGACACTAAGAGATTAGTCAAACTGACCATTGATAACCTCCAGAGTCTGAACACGACATTCCTGATGAGATTTATTGAGTTCTATTTTACTGAGAGAGGCAATAAATTAACAGAGCTCGTGATTCAGGGAGAGCCTGGTAAGAGCATACATAAACATCGCATTTTAAAAGGTTTTAGGTTTGCTTACATAATTTGGATGATGTATTTTGATTACTGAAATTACAATAATACTATAATGTGCTTGTAGACCTCTTTGAGTTAGTTTTGAATGATTCTACCAAAAATGCTTATACTCTGACTCTAAAACCCCTCAAAAATGATTTCCTCAAATTATCAACAGAAGACAAAAAACTTAAAAATCTAAAACACAGAAGGATCGTTTTCTGTAATATTCCTCTTAATTCATAGGAGATGAAGCTTTTACACGATGCAGATGCTGAACTTCAGGAATGGTCGACGAAAGATATAGATTTTACTCTAACACCCTCATATAACCCCTTTGGTCCAAATTCAACTTCCAGCCCCTTAAAAGGGGTTTTGGGGTTTTGGGGTTTTGGGGTTTTGGGG